GAGGCAGGAGAATGGCGTGAGTCCGGGAGGCGGAGGTTGCAGTGAGCCGAGATCGCGCCACTGCACTCCAGACTGGGTGATAGAGCCAGACTCCATCTCAAAAAAAGAACAGTTTTCTTGAACTAATAAATGAATGAATGAATACTAACATAAGTGAATATGTGAATAAATGGCTGTACATACACAGGCACGTAAAAAGAGAAAACAAGCTTTTGTCGATGTTGTTTAATGCAAATGAAGTGGATTTAGACATTTGTCCCTGTTTTTCATTTTCAGGTGATCCTTGTCTTTGTATTAAGCATTGGGTCTCTTATTATCTATTTCATCAATTCTGCTGAGTGAGTACAATGTCCAGTCATGCTTGTCTGCTATATCAGTACATTGCTCGGCTAATTTGGAATTTTCTCCTCAGGAATAATGCTTAATATACTTTCACATACACATGCACGCACACACACAAGCTCATAAAAAATGATGTGTCTGGCCTCTCCCAGTAAGCACTAAGCCCAGCTCTGCAAAATATACAAGAGTTTCCTTGTATCCTGCCACCTTCCACTGCTAGGGGTCAGGGTGATCTGCAACCCCCACCCCAGATTTACTCTGGAGTCTCTGGGACTCCAGCCTTCAGCTTTCTTTCCCTCACTTAGGCCACTCATGAAGATTTTGTACGTCTTTGGTTTCCTTGGGTGTTAGAGCAGAAACTCTGTTGTAGTTTCAGGGTTTCTCATAGGTTTCAGGCAACTTCAGATGGTATTGAGAAAGGAAAATGCCAGCCCTCACCTGCCACAAAGAAGCAAATTGTTGCCTGCTGTCCTCTGAAAGCATCCCCTTCTTATTGCTCAGTGTTAGGGCAGCTATTTTGGACAAAGCCCACTCTACTCTGAATTCCATGTCAATCACCTGGGAATTATATTGGATTTCTAGCTAAAACGGACTTGGGATTGCAGGGCCGCAGAAAGCCAGGCAACTTTAGAGAACCTAGGGAAACTGGTTGTCTTTGCATTGTAAATTCCTAAGAGATATTTTAGGAGATTTTCTTTGAAATTGATTCAAATCAATCCATTTAACCTAGAGTATCTCTGTATCAGAAGAGAATAAAGTCGAAATATACTGACTAGATAGATGATCTTGCAAACCAGGAAGAGCTCCATCATCTCTCTGGCTCTGAATCCCCATTGTTAAAATGGAAATAGAACCAATATATCCTACGAAAGAAATTGTGGGTAATTTTTCTGTTATTTCCAGTGCCATGGGCAGTCCACTGGTTTTGTTCATGCATTCCTCTACTCCCAAAAGAAAAGTTAATTTCCTTGAGATCTGAACTTAAGTATCTGGATTCATGGTGAATAAAGAAAAATTTTCCTATTCTTTCCCTTTAGTTGATCTTATATAGACATCACTTTTAAAATGTTCATCTTCACAAACTGTCCTTCTTTCTTTCCCAGCCCTGTTGGAAGCTGTTCATCATACGAAGATAAAACCATTCCTGTTGATTTGGTTTTCAATGCTTTCTTCAGTTTCTATTTTGGATTGAGAGTAAGTACCTACTGAAAGTGGGAGTGAATATCCAAACACCACAGGCACAACATACAGAGAACTAACTGTGTCTCAGTTAGTCCTACAATCTGCCTGAGTTTTCAAACTCTAAAGATAGATCATCTGTGCCCTAACTTGCTAAATATATACTGATCCCTAAAAACTCTCTCTCTTGCACGTGAAACCCTAAACCAGGTTAAAAGTTCCAACACAACATGAAAGTGATTCTTTTGTTAAATGCCATCATCGTGTTCCCATGGCCTCCTTACTGGCTTCCCATCTTTACTAATACAGTCAAACGAGCAGAACTTGAGTAGCAAGTCTCTGGAGATGTCCTTGGCTCCACTGGTGGCATGCCTGCAATACAACTGTGGAAAATAACTTTGTATCTTTGTTTCATTTTGTTACACTCGTTTGTTAAATATTTCTCTCTCTCTAGAGGTATTTATTAAGACCTTCTCTAGATCTAGATTTCAATCTCTTTATTCATTCCTTGTTTGTGGGAGATTAATGTGTGTATATAAAATATACACATATATGTATGTATATATAGGCATGCTATATATAAAAACATATCTTTTTTTTTTTTTAAAGACAGGATCTTGCTTTGTCACCTAGGCTGGGGTGCAATGATGCATTCTTCGCTCACTGCAACCTATACCTCCCAGGTTCTAATGGTTCTCCTGCTTCAGCCTCCTGGGTAGATGGGATTACAGGTGCCTGCAACCATGTCCAGCTAATCTTTGTATTTTTGGTAGAGACAGGGTTTCACCATGTTGGTCAGGCTGGTCTCAAACTCCTGACCTCAAGCTATCTGCCTGCCTTGGCCTCCCAAAGCATCCACATAACATATAAATATACGTCTCCGTGTATATGTAAAACAGAAGAAGATCAAGGCTTCAGCTGATAAGTAAAATGTAGCTGAATAATGCTGTCTCTTGTGTTCACTTTAAAATTCTTGAGGGTAACAGAATTTGTGTTATTCTGTTTCCGTTTCATAGTTTATGGCAGCTGATGACAAGATCAAGTTCTGGCTGGAGATGAATTCTATCGTAGACATCTTTACCATCCCACCAACCTTTATTTCTTACTATTTGAAGAGCAATTGGCTAGGTAAGTGTGCTGTGGGAACTGGTAGCAATACCTATGAAAAAATAAAAACTCAACATTCATTTATAAGTATCTATTTTTCATTTTTGCTTAATGCCTGACTGTCATTTTAAAAACCCCTCACCTTAATAGTATGGTTTTGCAATACACTTGCAGAAACCTTTTAACTTTAACACTTGGCAATGCAGCAGGCACACAGTAGGTGTTCAATAGGTGTTGATGGAATTGACTGCATTTGTAATGTGAGAGGCAAGGTACCAACATCTCATTCCCCTCATGACACCTTTATGCTGGGATCCCACAGGACCTGGGGGAGGTGAAAAACCTCCCTTCGTCTTTAAAAGCTAATCATCACCTCCATATGTACTATGGCATTTTAGAGAATTATTTAATTAATTGTTTTGTCTTTAAGGTGAATGTGTTGACAGTGCATGGACATTATGTAGCTTTTATCAGTTTCATAAAATAAATATGAATTCCATTCCTTGCTAACATTATCATACCACCTAAAGTAAAATATTATACCAACATTGTGAAGCATATCATAGAGACTGTAATGTCAGGAGTTTAAGTGGTTAAGGGAAAATTTGCTCTTTGTTCTAAAGAAGAGTTAAGTAGAGTAAAATGAATAGTCCCCATAATATGTCAGGCGTGCTTCTACATGCTTGATAGGGATGCTACAATTCTGTGAGGTTGGTACTATTATAATAGTAACATTTTACATTTTACATTCCCATCTTACAGATAAGGAACTAGAGACAGTGAGGGGATTGCCTTAGGTTACAACAGTGTCAGGGCTAGTATTTGATCTATAGCTTAAGCTGCTACACCTATAACATGAGAACAGATTTGAAACGTGTCGAGAAGAAAAAGAATGTAAGCGATTCCAATGATGTTATAACGTAGGCTCCCTCTGGGGTGACCCTCTGATTTTGGCAGCTTTCTTCTTTCCACTGGTTTGTAGGTTTAAGGTTCCTAAGAGCATTGCGGCTGCTAGAACTCCCTCGAATCTTGCAAATTCTACGAGCCATCAAGACCAGGTAAATAGCCCTGACCGAAGTACTGCTTACTTACTAGTTTGGATTAGAAAATGAATGTATTAACTGGACCTTAAACTCAATGCATTTCTTATCAGAATTTCAGTGCAGAGATCATGAAATCTCTCAGCTGCCAAAATATTATTTGTTCACATTCTCCCATTATATTGCATCTTAAACTAGCTGAAAACTTTGCAATCATTTTAAATAGCTGGTTTAGTCTTTGTTTTGTAAAGCTATGGTGTATAAGTTTATTTAGGTTTTAATTCTAGGTCCCTCCACCAAAAAAAAAAAAAAAAAACTCAAAACAATTCAGAGGCATTGGTTCCATATATTTGCTTTAACAACGCACGTCTCTCCTGGCTAGGTAAAGGAAAAGAAATAATTCTTCAGGCATTAGAGTATAAAACAATTCCTTGAAGCATATGTTACCCAGTAGCAGCCAGCAGTGAACTATTGCTTGCAGAAATATAGCCACCTAAGTATTTCCGGACAACAAGAACACAATCCAAACTGCCTTTGAGCAGCAATACTTGTAAAGTTTTGAGCAGTTTGGTCTGTTACCCCAGTTTGGTCTGTTACCCACTCAAAATCTCCATGCCTTGACAGTCAAACTAGAAGCATCAAATATTAGAGGCCAGGTGGATTTCATTTCTATGTGTTTATGAATTATGGAGAAGCTGGAGGAGGAAAGGCTGCTCCTGTGTGACAGGTGGTCCTGCCCGAAAACCAGAGAGATCTCAGCTAAACTCTAGGGCTCTCCTTAGGTGACAAGGGCCCCTCTCATCCTTCTTCACTTGAAGACCCTGTTATCAGTTCAGCAGCCTGAGTGACTTTATATTTTTGTGATCTGTTCAGAATTTTATTTTGCAAATCTGCTCCCTGGATTTCTACTCCTTGGATTCCTGGCATAATGCATTGCATATTATTATGTTGGACAATATAACAATCTCTATGATCCACATGCAGCATATTTCAAAAGTGATATGAGGCTAGTGGATATCGCAGCAAAATTCAGACTTTCCAAACAAGTATATGTAACTGGGCGAGTTTTAAAGCTGTGTTTCTCAACCTCTAATGTGTATGTGAATCAAGCAGAGAATCTTGTACCAATGCAAATTGAGAGATCGGGGCAGGGACTGGGATGCTGCATTTCGAATACGTTCTTGGGTAACGCCATTCCTTCTGGTCCATGAGCCACACTTTGTGTAGCGACATCTTAGAGGATGAAGTGTTTATGTTGTTCTGGAATCTGTTAGACCCAACAGCTCTTTGTCTTTCTTCCTCTAGTAACTCAGTGAAGTTTTCCAAACTATTGTCAATAGTTCTCAGTACCTGGTTCACAGCCGCGGGATTCATTCACCTGGTAAGCATCTCATCACAATTCCTAGTGGCGTCTGTTGTTACCAGCATCCGTTTTTTGAAAAATGGAATGGAACCTGCTGAGCCCCTGTCTCCACCACTGTAAGCCAGTTAGAGGTGTGTCTTTCTACTTCCCATTTTCAGGTTTTCTTTACCCTCATATTCTCACAAATATGCATATCCTACAGTCAAGGTGTCTCTGTTTCCTTTTCCAACTTTCAAAACCTACTCTTAGGGAAAGACCGAGTAAGCTCCAAAGGTATCAGCAATAAGTAAAATGTATCACTGTATCTTCATAAGAGTTCTAGCATTAAACAAAATTAAAAAGTGAAGGAAATGAAGCCAGTTACAGGATTTCAGACTCATAAATGCTGGAGACATATGAGGGAGGAGTTACTGTTGCAAAGGGGAGTTTGGGGGCTTTTTTGATCCTCCTGAAATCAATCTGTAAACCTAGCTGCCTCCTTTGCCTATAGGAAAGCCTGGTTCTTATCCCACGTAATAAGAAATCTAGGAAATAGATCTCAACCATAGGAAAGGAACTCCTGGACCTTACTTTTTGAGGACAGTTGAGGAGCAGTCATTAGCAAATACAGAAATTGATGGGAAATGTTAAAAGCCTGCAAAAGCCTTTGAGATAAACAAAACCGAATTCATAACAGGTCTTTTTTATCTGAGCCCTTCTCTCAAAATTAATGTAAGACAATAACAATTTAAAAATACATTAAAAAGTTACCATTGTTTGATTCAACAAGAAAAATGTCAAATGCAAACAAGGATATGAACCTTCAAGAAATCTGAAGCTCTCTACGTCCTCCGCAGCACTCAGGAAGGAAAGAGATTGTCCTGAAGTGTCACAGCAGTAAAGGCTGATTCCTGGATTTAGAGAATTGAACCTTCGAGTCCTGGACCCACCAGGGGACAAGTAGACATTAGTGACCCTTTAGAAACCTCGTGGCCACCACAGGATGCTAAAGGAAAAGTCATTAGGGCTTTTTTCTTTTTCCTTTAATAGCTGTTTCAATGAGAGGCTCGAAGCCTAAATGTGGCCTACAAGCATATTATTATATTTGACCTAATTATGTTTTAATTTTTTGTTTGCTATTTTTTGTCACTTGCTAACTTTTATGAAGAGCTCAGATAAAAATCAGAATTTCTGAATTCTTCAGGAAAATATAAGGTTCTAATAATCTCACTTTCCCAAGGCCACCAACAGCTGTAGCTGAAGAATAGCTTCGTATCACAAGGTCAAGAGATCGAGACCATCCTGGCCAACATAGTGAAACCCCATCTCTACTAAAAATACAAAAATTAGCCAGGCGTGGTGGCATGCATCTATAGTTCCAGCTACTCAGGAGGTAGAGGCAGGAGAATTGATTGAACCCAGGAGGCACAGGTTGCAGTGAGCCGAGATCGTGCCACTGCACTCCAGCCTGGGCAACAGAGCGAGATTCCGTCTCAAAAAAAAAAAAAAAAAAAAATCTTCTCCCTATGTACAGCAGGTGCTCTTGGGTTTAACACAGTCTCTGCCAGGCCTACTTGAATCACAGTAGTTTTGCTCCACTTCTCTAAGGATGTGAGCATGTTTCCCTGCTGGGCATCTGGTCTCCCAGGAAAGGAGACCTCCAGCAAGGAAGTAAGCACAGAAAAAAGGAGAAGCAATCAGATGACATGTGAATTAAATGGTGCCACTTCGAGCCATACCAATTTCTAGAACATTAAAAACTTAGAAGAACTATATCCCAGGGCAAAGAGGATAGCAGATTTAATGAGGGGATATTTGAAATGACAAGCCAAAATAAAAGCTATGGTTGTCCTAACTCACCATCTTCCCATTCTCATACTATCCTTCTGCTAAAAGATGATATCATTCAAAGATGAATATTAACTAGAAATGAATCAATATGGCACCTGTGCCTAAATTCTGCTAAAAACAACAAGAAGGTGTATTGGAAAGCAGAGAGAAACATTAGCATAATAGAAGTTACAAAATAAAACAGTTATGAGAGCAACAATTAAGATAATTTGCCTAAGGGAACAAAGGAAAAGTTAAGGGAAAAAGCCCTTTATATTTGAAAAAATAAATAAATTTTTTAGAAAAACTGAAAATGATCCTTCATAGAATATTTATATGGTTTTAACTGAGGGATTATTAAACAATAGAAGTAATTGAAAGTGAGCCAAAAGACATCAGAGAAAAATAACAAGAAGAGTATTACAGAGCTAAAAACCACATTAGAGGGAACCAAAATGTAATACATTTGACAAAATCACATTCAGAAACATGATGGACAGGACTGGAGCAAAAATCTTGACATGGAAAATAACAAAGATACTCAAATGGTTGTAAAAAAGAAACGTGAAAGTGGGACAATATTGATTCAACCTACTGTAAATATCATTAGGGTATTATAGAAAATAGTAAATGGTGCCAGAAAAGTGTTTTAAAATAATGTGTTGAATCTGTAGATTAAAGGATAGACTGTATTCCAGGAAAGATAATTCTAAGATATTAATTCTAATCATATATTGGAGCAGTTACAGACATTCAGGGATAAAAAGATAATCCAAGCAGAACAAAACAAGATTTACACAGGGGGGAACCAATAAGACTAGCTTCAGGTTTCTTGGCAATATAGATCAATACCAGAAGATGATACAGCAGTGTCTCTAAAGTTTGCATAAAAGAAAGTGTAACCTTTCTTGTCATTTTAAGCATGCAAGGGGTAACGCACCAGTGAGCTTCTTTTGAATCTGTATTAATAGCTTATTGATAAAATTCAACCACATAGGAGATTAATGAAAAGAGAATTCAAGAATGGGGAAGCCATGGTAAGAAGTAGTGGTAGTGGCTGGGCACGGTGGCTCACACTTTTAATCTCAGCACTTTGGGAGGCCACGGCAGGCACATCATTGGAGGTCAGGGGTTCAAGACTAGCTTGGCCAACATGGTGAAACCTCGTCTCTACTAAAAATACAAAAATTAGTTGGGTATGATGGCAGGTGCCTATAATCCCAGCTACTTAGGAGGCTGAGGCAGGTGCATCACTAGGGGGCAGCCTGGCTAATGAAGCCTCATCTCTACTAAAAATACAAAAACATTAGCTGTACATGGTGGCATGCACCTGTAATACCAGCTACTCGAGAGACTGAGGCAGGAGAATCACTTGAATCTGAGAGATGGAGGTTGCAGTGAGCTGAGATCATGCCACTGCACTCCAGCCTGGGTGACAGAGTGAGAATCCATCTCAAAAAACAAACAAACAACAACAAAACAAAACCATGATATTTTGGTCAGGCCCCTTGGCTCATGCCTGTAATCCCAGCGCTTTGGGAGGCCAAGGAGGGGCGGATCACGTGAGGTTAGGAGTTCAAGACCAGCCTGGCCAACATGGGGAAACCCTGTCTCTACTAAAAGTAGATAAATTAATCAGGTGTGGTGACAGACACCTGTAATCCTAGCTACTTGGGAGGCTGAGGCAAGAGAATTGCTTGAGCCTAGGAAGTGGAGGTTGCAGTGAGCCAAGATCATGCCACTGCACTCCAGCCTGAGTGACAGAGCAAGACTTCTCTCCAAAACAAAACAAAAAAGTAGTGGTAGTGATTACTGAATGGATATAAAATAGAGCTAAGACATAATCAAGGTAATTATCACTACAGAATAGAATGTAGATGCACAAAGTAAAAGTAATATAGCTAATATAAATGTTGATGGGCAGGTAAGAGAAGATGAGAGAATGTCCTCATATTCTTCTTCCTAGTGTATCTCATCTAAAGTTGAAACAAAGTTTAAAATAATAAGAATTCAGTTTTGAAATATGTGGTTAAAGTAAATAATGATTCAGTCTGTTAACATTAGTCCGTAATACTTTACCTTGACTGTATTTCCCACCTTGGACTGATGGGTCAATGCTAACATGGTTAAGAGGAAGAACAATGTGAATAAGTAGACCCACAGAAGGCTACCAACTCCCTTCTTCCATAAACTAAAGAGATACTGAGGAAGTGGAAAGGGATTTGAAACACCAAATTATTACTCACAAGGATAATGAGTTAAATTTTAAAGCCTTCTTTAAAAAATTGTAAAGGGTATTTCCAGATTAAAATAAATTTAGTTTTACTTTGTACATATTGTGCAGGGATAATATTGAATCCCTGTACTATGAGTTGTAAGAGACACTATGGGATTTTAGCTTAAAGGGAACTGTGCCAATAAATATGAATGATTTAAATCTGTGTGACTTAAATTTGGTTTTCTTGTAATGTACGTCTTGGAAAATAGTGAAGACTCCAGAAGTCAGTGACTTTGCAACAGTATCCACTATCAGCCATAAGACTTAAGAACAGACATATAATCCCATTCTTACTTTGGAGTAGAGTATTATAGGGGTCCACACTCTTAACCTATTCATTAAATTTAAGAAAGGGTCAGTACTTGGCACATCAGTTTTAAAAAGGGAACAAATATCTGAACAAACTGCATGGTTTCTAATTTCCATCCTAGTTCTTGAAAACAAAACAAAAAGCCCACTTCCCCCAGTTAGACATCTCTAAGATTTTATCATCTTTTGTGCTAAATAGAAATGGAAACATCTAGAAAATATGTGAGGTGAGGAGAAAAAAATGTCTAAAAAGAAAAAACAAAAAAAAATTTATTATAAACTATATATATATAAATGTATGTTATATATGTTACATAATATTTTATACATATTTATAATAAATTTATATATGATATAAATGTCTAAGTTACTTCATTTATCTAATATAAAAAAATCTGATAAATTTAGTTTTCTTGAAAGGTGAAGACTCAAAGAAAAAATCAGAAGAAAATATTTTTAAAGGTTTTTTTTTTTTAATCAACAAAAAGACCATTGTGCAAAGAGATAAACAACTTGGAAAATTGGTTTGTTTTTCCATAGACACTAGCATTCTATATGCTTAAGCTTACTGAAATGAAGTGCTCATTTAAGCGCTTCTTTCTTTAATGATAATCCTAATCTGGTTAAAAAGTGAGAATATGTTATAATTGCTCAGTCTGAGAGCCTTTGGAGTCCCCTGGCTCCAGGATGCAATGCTTGCACCTACTTGAAAAGAGAGCACAGAGGCATCTGTGCCCTGTGGAGCTTTTCAAATGCTATGCTGCAGCTAAAAGCCCCCTCAGATTTCGGCAATGATCACAATTAAGGAAACCAAGACTTTACACTCACTACCCGTGATTTACAAACTCTTCCATTTATGTAAACTCTTCATAGCAACCTGAAAGCCATTTGGTATTTCATTTGGATTGAATGAAGTGCAATTAATCTCGTGTTTTGCCTATTCTTTAAAACTCTTCTCTTGGATTCTATTCAGAGACGTTTCCTGAGTCTTCTCTCTTTGGACAGGTGGAAAATTCTGGTGATCCCTGGCTCAAAGGTAGAAATTCACAGAATATATCATATTTTGAGTCAGTTTACCTGGTCATGGCAACAACGTCAACTGTTGGCTTTGGAGATGTGGTAGCCAAGACATCCTTAGGACGGACGTTCATCATATTCTTCACACTGGGGAGTTTGGTGAAGAGTATTTTTAATATATTTTGAATATAGTTACATAAACCAGAAAATATTTGGTTAGTGGTAATCAATGAAGCAATATAGGTTTAAGAGTGAACGTTGCATTACTTGGGGCACGTGTCAAGGGCAAATGAAAACATGCACAAAGCCCGTATTTTCCAAACTGCATCACCTGGAGCTCAGGATAAAATTGCTCAGTTTCCAGGGATGAAGGATGGTAGACAAAAGAAGCAGACTTTCCTGATTAAGCTCTACATTGATTTGAGCAAACCTATCTTCCTTCATAGTTTGCCCATCAAACTAAAGTCTTTCTTCTAGAGGAAGGCTATTTGAGATTTGATCTGAAGAAAATTCCATTCCTCCCAGCTCAAATGAGTAACCTTTCACTAAAACAGCATTTAACTTTAGAGATGTGAACATCTGTGCCTGGCTTACGGGTGTAGCAAAGGCAAAAGCCTTATTTTCTTTTAGTGACTTTCATTTCAATTCCTTAAATTCCACAACAGAGTTCTCCACTCCACTTATTTGATACCTACGCATCCATGGTCTCACATCCCTTTTTTTCAGTCATTGTCTCTTAACCCTCCTCTGTCCCATATGCTTTCATTTTTCCAAGCTCCAAATAGAATAAAGTCAGAGTGAGAAGGGAAGTTTTAAGTGATAAAAGGAAGGCGGCCGGGCGCGGTGGCTCATGCCTGTAATCCCAGCATTTTGTGAGTCCAAGCTAGGCGGATTACCTGAGGTCAGGAGTTCCAGACCTGTTCGAGACCAGCCTGGCCAACATGGAGGCACCCCATCTCTACTAAAAATACAAAAATCAGTCAGGCCTGGTGGCAGGCACCTGTAGCCCCAGCCACTTGGGAGGCTGAGGCAGGAGAATCGCTTGAACCTGGGAAGTGGAGGTTGCAACGAGCTAAGATCTCGCCACTGCACTCCAGCCTGGGAGACAGACAAGAGACTCTGTCTCAAAAACAAAAACAAAAGTGATGAAAGGATAAGACATGTGGAGAAGTCACCTTGCTGCTTTCCTTTGTTTTCATCATTTTGAATACAGAAAAGCCTTATGTTAAATTTTTAAAAAATTCAAAGGCTGAAATAAGGAAGAAAAACGGGGTCCCTTTTAACATGCTATCATGTACTCTTAGATGACAAAGTTTTACGTACCCTCCTTTTCCTTTCTAATCTTGAAATTTTTGGAGTATTCATCAACATAATTGGAACTAAGATTTTATTTGCTCATCAATTTTAGATATTGTTTGCAAACTATATACCTGAAATGGTGGAACTGTTTGTTAACAAGAGGAAATACACCAGTTCCTATGAAGCACTCAAAGGAAAGAAGTAAGTAGTGTTTTAAGTATTTTTACAGTTTAAGAAATTCTATTAGCCACGTATCTCGTTCTAGACATCTATTGTCTGGCTTAGCTGTAGAACCCAAGGTGAATATATCAGCAACATCCTGCATTCACTAAAAAGGATTGTGCTAAACTAAATACCATAAGAAAATGATATTTGCTACTTGACACAAACTGCTACATAGATGCCCGTAAGAATACTAAATCAACTAAAATGACAGATAATGTTGTAATTCACTGTCAATAAATATTATTGATTATGGCACTATTTGTACATTCCTTTTCACTAACTTCTATAGTCATTATCAATTGTCTTACTCATTTTCCTTGTATGGGTAACTTATGGCTAATTTTACATAATGGATAAGATTAAAGCCATGATTCCAGTTTAAAATAATTAGTTTAATTCAGTTGTCTTAGCCAAAGCTCCCCTAAACCATCTGGGGCTCATTTATGGTGAGGATTTGCCCGCCTGAGAAGTTTCTACCCTGTCTTCTGTAGCGCCTCCTAGATGACTGATTTTTTTTCCATACCACAGCCATGTGTTCCCAGGAGGAAAATGGAGTGGAGCCGTTTTTATATTATTTCTTCTTGGATTCATGTTACCTTAGCTTCCATTAGGTTTTTTTCCTATCTAAGACAAAAAGAATGAAATGGAGGTTTTTTTTTTTTTTTTTTTTTGAGACAAGAGTCTCCCTCTGTTGCCCAGGCCGGAGTGCAGTGGCGTGATCTCGGCTCGCTGCAAGCTCCGCCTCCCGGGTTCATGCCATTCTCCTGCCTCAGCCTCCCGAGTGGCTGGGACTACAGGCGCCCGCCACCACGCCGGGCTAATTTTTGCATTTTTAGTAGAGACGGGGTTTCATCGTGTTAGCCAGGATGGTCTCGATCTCCTGACCTCGTGATCCGCCCGCCTCGGCCTCCCAAAGTGCTGGGATTACAGGCGTGAGCCACTGCGCCCGGCCTGAAATGGAGATCTTAAATTAGATGTGATCCTTTTAAAATCTTAGTCCCTGTCTGCTGTTAATGAAAGACGCATAATGGAGATAGACTCCCTCAAAGCAGTCTCTTAATACAGTTGAATGAAAACTATAATTAACCTAGGACTATGAAGAGGAAAGGAAAAATATGATGAAATGAACAAAAAATAAATAGTGAGAAGCAATGAATTTAACTAGATAAGCCAAAATCGGGCCTCATTTGTCTCAGGAAAAGCCTTTGGGGCACATACGAAATCAGTCAATAGGTCTGGGAATGTTAACGTTAACTTAGGCTAAAATTATGTTTTCAGTTTTCTTCAATGAGTAATAGGAGGAAAATAGTTCCTTTAAATGCATTAAACCTAAGAAAATTTTTCACGACAAAAACTATGTGCATAGAGTTCTGCACCTGTCTTCGATGTCCCTCCACTGGGCTCATGTTTTTGTAACTCCTAGATATTTGTAAATGTGGAAGATAAGCTGAAACAATCTGGAATGTGGTGCTTTCTCAGCCATGATATTTGGCTCTGGAAAAATTGATGAACTTTTCTGCTCCTCAAGAAAAAAACAAACAACAACAACAACAAAAACCCTATATCAGACAACTAGGAATCAAGTGAAAAAATGAAGTGAAAAATGTATTATAAGTTATAAATAAATGTGAAAAATCTAGCAATAATAATAGTTGCTCTTGTATTCTTAAAAAGCTAGGTGCAATTTAAATATTTGGAGTCATATTCTACTTGAGATGAGATAGAAGACTGTGGATCTCTGATGCTTCTTTTGTATTAGAAATGCAGTCCTTAGTGTTTCAACGTTTAAAATCTGGGTGAGGCAGGCCAGGCATGGTGGCTCATGCCTGTAATCCCAGCACTTTGGGAGACTGAGGTGGGCAGATCACCTGAAGTTGGGAGTTCAAGACCAGCCTGACCAACATGGAGAAACCCCATCTCTACTAAAAAAAAATACAAAATTAGCTGGGCATGGTGGCGCATGCCTGTAATCCCAGCTACTTGGGAGACTGAGGCAGGGGAATCACTTGAACCCAGGAGGTGGATGTTGGAGTGAGCCGAGATCACGCCATTGCTCTCCAGCCTGGGCAACAAGAGCAAAACTCTGTCTCAAAAAAAAAAAAAAAAAAAAGTCTGGGTGATGTAAATACCATATTTATTGAAAACTAAGTTTAAGCTAATTATTCATCTCTAAATGCTGACAGGAAGGTGCTTGTGTTCCTCGGATGATCCACCTCACCTGTTCTTGCTGCCTAGGTTCATTGTGGTCTGTGGAAACATCACCGTGGACAGTGTGACCGCTTTCCTGAGGAATTTCCTCCGTCGCAAGTCGGGAGAGATCAATACCGAAATTGTTTTCCTGGGAGAGTAAGTATATCTGTTTGGCTCATGGGTTCTAAATTAATACTTAAAATATGAGTGAATATTTTTAATGCAAGAAAATCACCTTCACAATATTTATAGAAAAATTCTATATTGATCATAAACAAAATTAAAAAGAAATCTTTGACCACGCTAATCTCTGCAAATATTTTGGAATATATCTTGTCAGATGTTTTTCTGCATAGGTGCTAATATGATTTAAGTGATTACTATTTCACATTTAGGTTATACTAAACATTATTATCATACATGACTGTAATCTTATGCAAAAGCCTGGTGCACTTGATAACTATTATTCTGTTAATTCTCAGAATTAGAAATGTGACGTTCAAATCAATACAGAAATGATTGTTCTTGATGCCGTTTTTGTCCTATGCAGTCTGTCTTTCCACTAACAGAGCCTAAGTCAAATATTTTGTCGAGCACTGGGAAATACATATTTAGTACAGAAAGATTTTAAGCATAGCTTAGGTATACAAAATGATTTCTTATATTTTAATTTTATAATTTTCAATTTGGTAAGATTGACTAATTTTCTATGTTTTGACTGTTGGCTTTTCTTTTTGAAATTTTTCTGTCTTTCATCCCCTCCTATTAGGTGGATTGATTACCTGTTGCTTTACTGACTTTTCTACTCAATATATGTTGATACTAGTCATTTTGTGTTACTTGTTATACATGTTTTTCTTCCTACTTTCACCTTTTAATTTTTTTCGTACTTTTATTTTCATACAGAAGTGTTTGATTTGCATGCACTCCAGTCAGCCCATTCTTTTAGTGTTTAGATCCATGGAATTGTTTTACCTGATGTGTAGAGAATTAACTTCTTTATTTTTCTCAAATGATTCATCAGTTACACAAATATCATTCACTAAATAAGTCAGCCAGATTTTGAAATGACATTTTGATCTTACGTGGGATTGTATATAGCATCGCCTCATCTTTGGGCACTGTGTAGTTGAGCACTCTGCTTTTACATTATGACATGTTCAATTTACCATAAATCTGGGCCCTCATATATGGAATAACCGATAGCAGTTTGAAGCACTCTACGATGTTACTGACAGCCAAGAATTCTGTTTAAGTAGCATCACCGTGTCCATCTTTCTAGCAATTTGTGCATTATTTAAATCTTTTGTTAGAAAATAGTAGAAACAAAGAGTGCTAAAACTAGGGATTAAAAGCTAATTATTATGATCCAGTTGAGACAGAGAGGAAATCAATAGATGTGTGACATGTTTTACCTGCCGTTGCATTTTTATGAACTAATGTGCGTTGTTGTATGTACTTGCCAAGATAATGAATAATATTTTTTAATGGAGAAAAATGTGGAAAGTATCTATATAGAATTTTATTAATTTCATCTATACTCCGATGACTCCAAAAATTTACATCTTCCCTTAGACATTCTCTGTGGCTTTGTATTTACACAACTAATTGCCTCCTGGATATTTTTAACTTAGTGTTATGAAGGCCCCTCAAGCTCAACATTCTCAAAAGTGAACTCATGATCTTGTGTTCTCCTTTCCAACTCAAAGGCAAACAAACAAAAATAAAAGAAGGAAAGCAAACAACATTTTCTATCCTAGTAAATGAGACCTGATTAATATACTTCCTTAAAACAGAAAACTGAGTATTATCTCTGATACTCCTGTTCCCCTCAATCCCTATATACGTTTTCATCAATACCATTAATTTTGTCTCACATGTAAATACTAATTCTATTTCTACCATTTCTTCTTCTATCACAACCCTATTTGTAGTTAAATCTTGTCTTCCCAAAATTTCTCTAAAGGCCACTTTGTTTGTTCTTTGTGCTCCAAAGCTCTTCTTCTCCCTTTATATGACCAATTTATTCCCATCCTTCCCACTCAGAGAGACAGTCCCTGTCCATTCTGTCTAAATTGGTGTCCTCTAATTTCCTTCTATCTCATTACTTTGTTTTATTTCCTTTAAAGCAATTATCACAATCTATAAAACACAGCTGTTAACATTTCTTTCTTTTATGATATACTCCTGCCCCTTCTCCCAGTTAAACGTGAATTCTCTTTCTTCTTCCTTTGAATCTGGGCTGACTTGTGGCTTAATTTGATAAATAGAACACAGAAGATGTGATACTTTGCTACTTCAGGCCTAGCATTTAGGATGATTGACAGTTTCACTTGGAGCCCTGAGTCGTCATGTAAAAAGTCATACTACCTTGCTGGAGAGAAGACCCAGTCAGCTGTCAGCTACTCTAGTCATATAGCTGAAGCAACAATCGTGTGTATAGCCACTTTGGACATTCCAGCTCCCTGTGAAGCTCCTGGATGAGTGTACCTATGTGGAAGCCGCTAGTCAACAATGCACAGAACACAACAATCTGGCTAGAGACACAACAAAAAAAGAGAATTTTAGACCAATATCCCTGATGAACATCAATGCAAATTCCTCAATAAAATACTGGCAAACCGAATTCAGCAGCACATCTAAAAACTTATGGACCATGATCAAGTGGGCTTCATCCCTGGGATGTAAGGCTGGTTCAGTATACACAAATCAATAAATGTAATCCAGCATATAAACAGAACTAAAGACAAAAACCACATGATTATCTCAATAGATGCAGAAAAGGCCTTTGACAAAGTTCAACAGCACTTCATGCTAAAAACTCTCAATAAATTCGGTATTGATGGAATGTATCTCAAAATAATAAGAGTTATTTATGACAAACCCACAGCCAATATCATACTGAATGGGCAAAAACTGGAAGCATTCCCCTTGAAAACTGGCAAAAGACAGGGATGCCCTCTCTCACCAGTCCTATTCAACATATTGTTGGAAGTTCTAGCCAGGGCAATCAGGCAAGAGAAAGAAATAAAGGGTATTCGATTAGGAAAAGAGGAAATCAAATTGTCCCTGTTTGCAGATGACATGATTGTCTATTTAGAAAATCCTATTGTCTCAGCCCAAAATCTCCTTAAGCTGATAAGCAACTTCAGCAAAGTCTCAGGATACAAAATTAATGTGCAAAAACCACAAGCATTCTTACACACCAATAACAGACAAACAGAGAGCCAAATCATAGTGAACTCCCATTCACAATAGCTTCAAAGAGAATAAAATACCTAGGAATCCAACTTACAAGTGATGTGAAGGACCTCTTCGAGGAGAACTACAATGAAATAAAAGAGACACAAACAAATGGAAGAACATTCCACGCTCATGGATAGGAAGAATCAATATCATGAAAATGGCCATACTGCCCAGGGGAATTTTTAGATTCAATGCCATACTTTTTAAGCTACCAATGACTGTCTTCACAGAATTGGAAAAAACTGCTTTAAAGTTCATATGGAACCAAAGAAGAGCCCACATTGCCAAGACAATCCTAAGCCAAAAGAACAAAGCTGGAGGCATCACGCTACCTGACTTCAAACTATACTACAAGGCTACAGTAACCAAAACAGCAGGGTACTGGTACCAAAACAGGCATATAGATCAATGGAATGGAACAGAGCCCTCAGAAATAATACCACACATCTACAACCACCTGATCTTTGACAAACCTGACAGAAACAAGAAATGGGGAAATAATTCCCTGCTTAATAAATGATGCTAGGAAAACTGGATAACCATAAGTAGAAAGCTGAAACTGGATCCTTTCCTTACATCTTATACAAAAATTAATTCAAGATGGATTAGAGACTTAAATGTTAGACCTAAAACCGTAAAAACCCTAGAAGAAAACCTAGGCAATACCATTCAGGACATAGGCATGGGCAAGGACTTCATGTCTGAAACACCAAAGCAATGGCAACAAAAGCCAAAATTGACAAATGGGACCTAATTAAACTAAAGAGCTTCTGCACAGCAAAAGAAACCAGCATCAGAGTGAACAGGCAACCTACAGAATGGGAGAACATTTTTGCAATCTACTCATCTGACAAAGGGCTAATACCCAGAAGCTACAAAAAACTCAAACAAATTTACAAGAAAAAAACAACCCCATCAAAAAGTGGGCAAAGGATATGAACAGACACTTCTCAAAAGAAGGCATTTATGCAGCCAACAGACACATGAAAAAAATGCTCATCATTGCTAGCCATAAGAGAAATGGAAATCAAAACCACAATGAGATACCATCTCACACCAGTTAGAATGGCAATCATTAAAAGGTCAGGAAACAACAGGTGCTGGAGAGGATGTGGAGAAATGGAACACTTTTACACTGTTGATGGGACTGTAAACTAGTTCAACCATTGTAGAAGACAGTGTGACGATCTGTCAAGGATCTAGAACTAGAAATACCATTTGACCCAGCCATCCCATTAATGGGTATACACCCAAAGGGTTATAAATCATGCTGCTATAAAGACACATGCACACGTATGCTTATTGCGGCACTATTCACAATAGCAAAGACTTGGAACCAACCCAAATGTCCATCAATGACAGACTGGATTAGGAAAATGTGGCACATATATACCATGGAATACTATGCAGCCTTAAAAAAGGATGAGTTCATGTCCTTTGTAGGGACATGGATGCAGCTGGAAACCATCATTCTCAGCAAACTATCACAAGAACAGAGAACCAAACACCACATGTTCTCACTCATAGGTGGGAACTGAACAAGGAGAACACAGCACAGGAAGGGGAACATCACACACCAGGGCCTGTTGTGGGGTGGGGAGAGGAGGGAGGGATGGCATTAGGAGATATACCTAATGTAAATGACAAGTTAATGGGTGCAGCACACCAACATGGCACATGTATACATATGTAACAAACCTGCATGTTGTGCACATGTACCGTAGAATATGAAATATAATAAAAAATAAATAAATAAATAAATAAATAAATAAGTAAAAGAAGAGCAATCTGGCTGAGACCAGCCAACCTACAAAATCATGAACATAGTATATTATTGTTGCTTAAGGTCAATAATTCTAGGATGGTTTGTTTTGCAGAAATAGATAATTGATACAACAAGTGGTACTAGA